CTTCAATTGATTTAATAAAATGCTTTATTAGACGTCTTATAAATGTTTTCTAGCTCCATTATTTGATTTCATTGCATTGCTTTACAATATTGCTGTATAAAGGCTCTTATACCACTATGAGTCCATGTTTTAATTGCATGCTTTATAAATGCTTTATAAACGACGTATTAGATTCATTATTCGACAACACTGGTTCAGTCTAGCAACAAGACGAAATCAGTAGAGTAGTGGTTACCGTTTCCGCTTTCCAAGTAGAAGGTCGTGAGTTCAATCCCAAGCTCAACCCTTTTTTATTTGTGTTCTAAATAATAATCATCGATTACATCACTCACGACAACGAATGCATTGATATTGTTCAAAATTAACCGAGCATCCTTTCCATGGAAATGGGACAGATGAATGAATTAATGATACCCACTGGACCTTGGGATGATCGGGAGTGCTGATAGGTATTCAGTTTCAAACAAGCTTTTATTGAATATTGAGTAGCCCATATGATGTATTCTAGGATAGCTCACATGGCAAGACAAGCGGCTGGTGATCGGAAGGTACATGGATCGAAACCCATGCAACCAACGAACATATATAAATGAATATAATAAATTATCTAATATCTGTTGTGTTTGTGTATGGTACGTGCTTCGTCTGAAATAATGAAAACAATCTATAAAAAAGGACAACTATATGAATATCTCCTACCGTTCTTTATTTTCGGGTTAATTTTCCTGCAGTTGAATAACCGTTTAATAAATGTATAATAGTGTCTAATTTAAACGTTACTTCACATGTTAATCAGCGTATACATCATCGCTGTTTAAGGAAGCAAAATGCCAATAAAATGCTAACGACTAAAAATATATACGTACCCTAATTAAACAAAGCACAAGCAATAAAAAATCTCAAATTGGCCACTAAAATACTACAGGGGTGCACCAATAAACAAAAAAGAAGTTGCAATAGAAATGAAGAAAAAGGCAATAAACAAATAAAAAGCTTCTTTTAATAATTTGAATTTGAGCGGTGAAAGTGGCAAAAAGGGCAATAGCAAATAGAATACGCTCAATTAAATAAGGATGAATCTCCACTAAATTAGGAAATTTGAGCACTAAATAACTCACCCACGTCACCTGCAGTTGAACATATTTTCCCATAAAAGTGGCAAAATGAGCAATGTTATATTGAATAAGCGCGATAAATAAATCTAAAAGGTCCCACACAAAAAGCGCACAGTTTTTTTTTTATCTAGTTCGTTTATTTGGAAGGCTCAATCGTAAAGCGCACAGTTATCACTGTTTAAATCCAAATATGCTGTAAAATCGTGATTATTTCCCCAAAAAGAAAATGAAAATATCTTTTAAAAACTGAAAAAGTTCCAGAAACCAGGAGATAAATGTATGCTTGAACATGAGGATGAGCCATCGTAAAATATGAATCGTTCTTTAAGAAAAGAAAATAATTCATGTAGGAAAGTAAAAATGAGCAATTAAAAACAAACACTGCGCAATACAAAATTAAAAAATCCAATGATATTCAGGAAATATTCCTTTAAATTGAAAGTTTATGAGCCAATAACCCAGAATAATTTCCATATGGTATTTTCAAGATAGCGATAAATAATGATACTGTGTCTTGGCTAACAAAGACGATGTCGATAAAGAAGATTAACGAATGTGGGTCTAATTGAAAAAGGTACCATTAAACAAAATCAAAAGAGCACTAAAAACAGCTGTTTTAGCAATATATACGTCACAAAAGAGCACTAGAAAATGCCATTTGAGCAATATAAAGGTAAAAAAAAAAGACGCAAAAAGCACAGTGAATGTCCCAGGGAAAATTTCAAAAAGGCTCAACAAAAAATAAGAAATGAGCAAGAAACGTATAAAATTAGCACTTTGAAAAATAAATTGAGCATTTTATAGGCCATGAAGGTCACTAAGAACGAAAACAATATCTGTTGAAAACCTGCAAATCTTCATCGAGCCACAGACAAACAGACATAACACTCGCATCTTGTACATCGAACACGCTTTTAACGGTCAATTTAAATATGTGTTAGTTGATAGCACCTCCGCCAGTGGCGCCCATAGTTAATTTAATCTTGCATTCAACCCCTTCATTTGATTGTTCAAAAAAAAATGAGGCGATAGTTCGATCACAGACAAACAGACATAACACATTGAATAGTTTCCACTGTAAACCATCGTCTCTAAAACACTACCGCCATCTGTTGAGAACACTGTCACGGGTAGCACGCCCAACAGATGGCAGTAGTGTGTAAACGTCAAACGCAAGGAAATTAACTATAAGCGCCACTGGCGGAGGTGCTATCAACTAACACATATTTAAATTGACCGTTAAATGCGTGTTCGATGTACAAGATGCGAGTGTTACTTCTGTTTGTCTGTGGTTCGATGAATATTTGCAGATTTTCAAAAGATATTGTTTTCGTTCTTAGTGACCTTCATGGCCTATAAAATGCTCAATTTATTTTTCAAAGTGCTAATTTTATACGCTTCTTGCTCATTTCTTATTTTTTGTTAATTTATTAATAAAAATTGTACAAGTGTTATTAAGCAAGAAACGACTTCTTAAATAGGCGATTGTTTGTTGGGCACTTCCCCGGAGGTTTCACCAAAGCAAACTTGGTGGAACCAGTGTGATTCCGGCTTCTCCAAATGATTTGCCATTGAACTGGGTTTTGAATATGTATGCCACTTTATGTGTAACAGGACCCCCCCCCCCCCCCCTGTAAGTTCCAAGAGCAGCCAATGTGGGTAATGATCCAATTCAAATCAATCCAGTATTTTGTGATTGTTAATGGCCGTCGTGAGTGCCTGTGAGTATCCATGGTTTGACATTCAAGGATGAGAAACTATTAATATTATTCAATTTTAATATTGTGTACATTTCCTTGAATTTGTTTTCATTTTGATTGTCATTTACGCTTTTTAAAGTGGTTGAACTCAAAAATGTAAATATCAAGTTTTTTTTTTTTTTCCTTTGGTTTGTTTTTTCCGTCGATCTTGTTTTCCGTGCTGAGCACCAATGCTTCCGACGTGCCAGAAAGGCAGCTCCCACACCTGGACCCTACCTATCGACCCATCAACTCATGAATCGGGGACCAACGGCTTTACTTCCCATCCGAAGGAAGGCGTGATCAGAGATGTTATGCCTCAGAACATCCCGGCGGCGTCGACTGGGATTGAACCCAGGCCTGCTGGGGTGAGAGGTAATCACGCTTACCACTACACCACCGGCGCCGTTAAATATCAAGTTGTTTGCACAAAATAACTTGGCGGCCATTATCGAGCGCAAATTACGGGATAACACGACTGTTCATGAAAAAATAAAATAAAAAAAGAGCTGTCGTACGGCGTAATTTGATGTAAACATTATATTTTCCTCTACGGCAGGTGCTCCCGCAGACATATCGATGGTTCTGAGAGCGGCCAATGTGTCCCCGGGAGTACTCCGGTGTCCGAAGTGGCCAATGTGGTCAATGATCCATTAAAAGTCTAAAGAAAGCCTATTGATGAAAACCATGAAGAAAGAGATGTCGCGGGGCATGTTTTGGTGTAAAAAAGAAATTGTTTTCTACTGCAGGTTCCCCGGAGGTACTCCGGTGGTTTTAGAAGTGGACAATGTGGTCAATGGTCCATTCAAAGTCTATCAAAATCCTACTGATGACAAACCATGTAAAAATGAATTTGTCCCCTACTACAGGGGGCACTCTGGTGGCTCCGAAAGTGGCCAACTTGGTCGGTGATCCATTTAAAGTCTATAGAAAAAAAACAATGAAGAAAAAGGTGTCTCATGGCATGGTCTGAGTGTATGAAAGAACTGACCGCATTTAGAACCCTCCCTCAGGACCGATTCCAGGGAAATGACCATATCTCGGTTGATTCTGAGCCGATTTTTGCTCTTGGTGCGTTATTCGCTTTGAAAATGATTCTATTTTTAGCGTATGAGCAAAAAACACAGATTACTAACGGACACCCTGAGAAAAACTTATCACAAATTGAGCAATTTAGACATGCCCTCCGGAAACCCAGAATATCTCCGGTATCCGGTAACCATGGTCACTTCCACTGCAATACCATAAAATTTGATTAGTTTTTCAGTAGAATGCTTCTTGAAGAATAAAAATCGAACAATATTTAACAAAGTTACATCAGTACAAATTTGCTAGAACCCTATGATTCGCACAACCCCTGTAGAATTATAGTGAAGGGATATGGGTGTACTCCACCAAAGTTGCAAAAAAAGGAAATGTATCGCGCTTTGGAGCATCGTTCATTCTTTTTAATATAGAAAACTTAAGATACGTCCATATAACTTTTTTGTTAATCCTTCATAAAATAGATGAATTACCGTACAGATGTTATAATCTATCATCTCGAAATGGACATTTGCCTACAACTCTTCGAAAACATCACCAATTTTTGTGATATTTGCGGGAAAGTCTGATTCTAGCAGACCTTCCCAACACTTTACTCTATGCTTTTTTAATAAATAAAAATGATAGAAGAGAGAGATAAGTCCTCCTCAACTTTAAATCTTATATAAGAAAATCCCCGATTGTAAGCGATATATTATCGAAATATGATGGCACTGCAGCATTGTGCAATTAATAAATTTTTATATCGTTTCTATTGATAACCACTCAAAAGAGAAAAAAAAAACTAAAAACAAACTTCAATAATCAATTTGACTTACCTACGAACTGCATTGATAAACCACCAGGTCACCCGGTGATCATTGTATTATCGGAATACAGTAGATATCGTGAATTTGTTATCGCCATTGATAGCATTGTAATCGCTTTAATCAAAACACCTGACTACCCTGTTTCTTACAGTTCATTGCAATGCCTTACCGTGACAACACTACATTTCTTAATTAATAATACAATGTTATTTATGAAGAGATTTTCTACCGTAAGAACTTATTATTCTCAATCTTTAATAGTAGCTCTTAATCGATTTTTTTTTTGTTTGCAGCTTTCTCGTAGTACAATCATGTTGGATAGCAAGTTGGACAACATTCGTATAGAGACAATAACTAGCAAATACTACGATGACGTGATCGAGCATCTTCGGCAAACCTTCTTTGCCGATGAACCATTGAACAAAGCTGTGCACCTTACCCGTCCAGGCCAGGGCCATCCACTCTTGGAACTCCATAGCCTATCCACCCTAAGAGACAACGTTAGCATTATGGCAATTTCAGGCGAAGGAGAAGTGCGATAGTCGAAGGTCCATGCAAGCGATAAATAATATGGACTCTTACCATTTCAGATTGCCGGTGTAGCATTGAATGGCATTCTTCATGGCAATAGAGATATAGAACAATCCATGAACAAACTTAATGATATCCAGGATGAAAATTTCAAGAAAATTTTCAAACTACTCTACGAGCAAAATTTGAAAATTAATCTTTTCAAGCAATTTGACGTTGATAAGATTTTTGAAATAAGAATACTTTCGGTTGACTCAAAGTAAGTAGGTACATAGGTTTCGTATCTGTCGTTGTGAAATTCACATAAGTATTTGCTTCAGGTTTCGCGGCAAAGGATTAGCTAAGAAGTTGATAGAGAAAAGCGAGGAACTTGCTTTGGACCGCGGCTTTCAGGTAAAAAATCGAAACATAACGAAACCAATAATGTATACAATAACCTGCTCTACAGGTCATGAAAACTGATGCAACCGGAGCATTTTCACAGCGCGTAGTAAGCTCATTGGGATTTATAACCAAAAGCGAACTCAACTACGCAGACTACTTGGATGAAAACGGAGAACAAACATTTGTAGTCGAACCACCACACGAAAAACTTAAAATTATGTGCAAAGTAATCAACTAAGCAATGTGAAAGCATTCCCACAGGACGCGCATTAAAGCTAACGTACTAGTCATTGACAATAGAAATACCGATAATCATGATATTTGAAATATTTATCAGTGTATACTCAGTGTTACCAAAGATGTGCAGAGTCGATTGTTGTTTGATAGAAGCATAGCTTACTTTGTTCATTCGTTGATGATGTTTTGTACTATTTGAGAATTTTTTTTTTGTTCGGTGATGTTGTGTTCAAAAATTATTTATTAATAGCCAATATTTTAATGCTCACAAGGTTTGAGTGTTTTAAATTATATCTGTAATCACCACTACAGAATTTCACCAGTAAAATTGATGGCATTGCCAATTTTTAGCCAGTATTTTGATAGGTATTTCAAATACCGTCCTACAGAAACCGACCAATTCTGAGTGATAATATTGATTATATTGGGAAAATATAAATGAGTAACCCAGTTCACAATCACTTGAGATAAAGCATATACCTACACGTATGAACCAATTGTAGAACACAAATCAAGGAATAAACGATACAGAAACAAACGTACACGAATGTATGATTTAACAATTTCTTTCCTAGTCGTAATAGTCCTTTCCGTTACCACACTGACTGCTTAAGCTCTGTGTATCCGAAAGGTGTGGCTTACATCAGCACATGTGTGACTTCTGGGGGTGGTGCTTTCATCGGAGTTTCCGTAACAAACCAATCACCAACCAGCATCAAAGCGAGCATATGAACACAACGTTAATAATAATAGTAATAGCTCCCTTCTCACTACCTAATCAGTGTTAGCTAATAGCATGCCGTTGGCCACCCCGTGATGTAGGCAACAGGCACAACAGAGAAAGGATAATCTCATCATTTTCGTGTCAGCAGAACGCTTGCTCACGTGCAGGAAATTGTTAACCACCAGTCTTCGTCGCGCTGTTGCGTTGTTGTGTTGCAATAGATTTTTAGTTTTTGCTCTGACTGTGTTATGGAGCGGGATGGTGGAATATTAGAACAGTACAGTAAAAAGATTTCAACGGAACACAAAATGGATACCAGTGCACAAACTTCAACACATTCTGCATTACATTTCATTAAAACGTGTAATTACTTCATCCCAGAGATAGGTATGATTCTATGAGTTCATAGAATTTAACCCATTTTTTAACAATAACTACGAGCTTAAGCAACTGTAACTGTAGCACTTGCATGGCCGTTTAATCCAACTCATTTTTTTGAGTTCCTTGATTTTCCATAACAATCTGTTTGAATAAAAAGAAAATCGAAGGAATTTTTAATCAGTGCCATTTAGAATTTTTACAGAAATCTGTTAAATTATACCGAAATCTAAACAGCTGAACGTTTGGAGGTTTTTATTTTTAAATTACCGAAAGATCTTTAATTATCTAATAAATATTTTGTCACTATAACCGAACCATTCGATAAGCTTTAACTAATCGATCTGGTTATTTTTATGTTGCATTAATTTTTAATTCGGTATTCGGTATTAACGGTATTGTCTACGGATTAATTTAACATAAATTAGATTTACCAGCTATTTTTGTGGTTTAATTATGAGAATTTATATAAACGAAAACAGTAATAATAATAAAGTTTTTGCATGCCTTTAAAAAAAAATTGATCCCTCCGTGCTTAATTGTTCCACTCCCTTCGTAACCCTGGTTATGAAGAATTCATGGCTAAGAGAAACATTCATAAGTAAATCATGTATGAAATGTGTTTTGTAATACTAACGCAAGATTCTCACCATTCTTTCGCCTCGAACATTTAAATTATGCATAAAATATTCATGTTTACTGGTTCTTCCACCTCACGCACGTCAAGCACTGATAAACTGTTTGTTTTGATTTTCAGTTGTTATGTAGATTTCTGGTAATTTGACTTGTTAATATGTTCTATGTTTTTATATATTTACAGATATTTCGGTAATTTTACAATAAATCAATGACAAATTTTCAACTTTTACTGAACATTTTGTAATTTTCATTTTACTGATCGATGCCGGTTATTTTATTTCTTTTTTTACATAGGGGAAATGTGTGATGTAATGTCGGCCTAAGTGTCCCTAATTTGGGCTCATACATAAATTCAGCTATAGACTAAATTTTCAATAGCAACCAAAAATATCCATTAGTACCGTCCTAATGACGCGTTCATCTAGATACAATTGATAAATAGCAGATTTTTAGCGATGGGCCCAATCTTAGATCCATAGGCCAACATTAGAGCCATTTCCCCTATATCCGTGAAAAAAAACCTAATGGCAGTAAGCTCCAACTCAGATTAACTTTTAATACTGGCCCTGATTAGAACATCAGCTAAAAGTTTAATTAGTATCGTATTTATCAACACCGATGTTGACATAAATACAGTCCGACTTTCTTGATCGGCATTTAATCCGAGGATAACACCGGTTGAAACTTACCAGTATAAGTAGACTGAGTAATTTTTATCTCGATTTTCCTCATATTCACGCAGAAAATTGAGGAAAATCTAAGATAAACTTACTCAGTCTATGTATGTGAGTGACGTGAACTTTTACGAATTTGAGTAAACGGGATTCAAATTTGAATCGGTTTCAACGGGCCAGAAATGCTACTTGGACGACAAATCCAATATCTATAAACGAATCATTTCCGAAGAATTTTCTCGCTATAACGAAAACAATCCATATGCGTAAACATATAACGCAACGGATGGTGCCAAAATCTAACTTTTTACTATGATATAGATGTTTTCAGAAATTGTTTATCTTGAAAAATAAAATAGCAATTCGTCTGAAGACGTCAAAGTTCCACAGCCACACATTTTTTGCCTGTAGACTTGGAGACATACTTCTAGTCTCCGCGTACATCGTACGGGTTAGGCAAAAGATGTGCGTCTAACTTTAAAAACTGTCGCATTAATGGCCCTTCGCTCATTTTCAACTTCTATTCAATTTTCATACTGCCGTACTCTAACGGAACTATCCACCTGCCTTCTTCTAAAGATCATTCTCTAGCTAATAAATTATCACACTAAAGCTTCATGTTAGCATTTCCAACCAACTCTGAAAATCGCTAACTTCGCGTATGAAGTAACATAAAAACACTTTGAATGTAACGATTTTAAATTGGCTCACTACTTGACTAGCCAATTGGTCCCAAGCAAACGATTAACGAACCCCATTCTAGTCAAAATTCTAGTACTACACAATGTTTGCTTTGATTCGCTATGAAAGTTTGACAGATAAAATGAGGGGTTCGTGGATTTTCCTATGTTTCGAGGGGTGAATCGATTATAGCTTGGGACCGAAGAGAGGTACCAGAGCTGAGCCAAAAAGTTGAGTACGTTTTTTCAGGACCTTCTAGTCTTAGAGTTACCTCTATGGTAATACCATACGCTTTTATTACAAGAACACTACATTTATTTATTACTTAAAACTAGACAACAAATTATTGTTCCGTACGGGTTTCGCCCCTGGTCTGGACTAATTTTAATTTCCTAATGTTTACATTTCTATTACCTAGGAATAGGTAAGGCTCCCACACTTCACGACGACGATCTCTCTCCTTCTCTGTGCAACTCGTAGGTAATAGTGAGTGACCGCGACGTACCGGTTCACTACCACTAGCCACTAACACTCAATCAATTGGTAGTATAGACCGAGGGGTGCGACACATCTAAATCTCGATTTTAAATGGTCGAAAAATCTCACACCAGTGAATCAATCTACGAAAAATCTTTTGTCATCTCTTGCATTTAAACCCATCTACTCGCATCGCTCTCCACCTTTTTGCAGGAAATCTTCAAAATCATAAACAATCGTGTTTCTATCTATTAAGCGTGAGTGCATCTCACAACAGCAAAGCAAAAAAAAACCTGCATCTTAGATAGAGTCGCCCCCCTCGGTATAGACACTGTATATAGACCGGACAATGTAAAATCATACAATCTGGTAGCCCTGATAAATGTCATTAATTTGAAAAATAAATCAGGCATCACTTGAATTTGTTCAAACTTTCAGGGAGCAGCTCGATAAGCCAAGAAAAAGATGTTTGTTTTTGTTTTTCCTTTGCTTTTGTTTTGATTCCATTCGTGCATAGAAGCTGCGTATCATCCTTCCCGGCAATGCTAAGCCGGAGCCGGTGGTGTAGTGGTAAGCGTGACTGCTTTCTAACACCCCGATGGGTCTGGGTTCAATCCCAGCCGAGGTCGGTGGGATTTTTCTGAGGCATAAAAATCTCTGGTCACGTCTTCCTTCGGAAGGGAAGTAAAGCCGTTGGTCCCGGCCCATGTGTGTTGAATGGGTGCAATATCCTACGCAGGTGTGGAAGCTGCCTTCCTGCACATTCGATTGCCGTCAATGGATGGCAATCGATGTCCGTCGGTGATTGGCACTATGTTGCGGAACAGAGACCGACGTTAAATAAAGGAAAGAAGAAGAAGAAGAAGGCAATGCTAAAGTTCTCGAGTCAATCACCGTTACCGAAGCACCGTGCCAACAGCAGCTTCTTGCTTCGCTGTTATTGTAATTTGCATCCAAGAATCATCCAACACTACGGGGCAACCACGGTTTCCAGTGGGTTTCCGGTACTCCAGTAATGTCTCCCCCACTCGTTTTTCAGTCGTCGTTTCTACCGTGCTCTACCGTACGTTTTTCAGTCGTCGTACATCATCAGCTGGAAAATTGAATCGAGAGCAGAGATTCATATGCCTGTGGCCGGATGTTGTTTTAAAACTTATAGCTTGGTAGAGTAAACGCAAATCGTAGTGGATGTTGAAATTGTAATCCTGTTGAGAGAGAGGAAGGTTTTTTCACTATCACAAATCCAGCCGCGTACTGGAAAAAATTTACATTGAGAGAAACAAAATTTTACTAGGAGTTCGCCTCTTTCTTTATATTTTGCTTTTTGTCAAAACAACACTAGATTACAATACTTGCACCTTTGAAGCAAACCAAAGAATGACAGTCCGTTTGGTTACACTTTTTGACAGTTCGTTTGGCTGCATAAGACAAACGTTGTCCAGTCTATATACAGTGTCTATAATTGGTAGCACTTTGGAGTACCTAAAAACCCAGCAGGTGCGTTTCTCGCAAACAGATTCAATAATAATATGCGATTGAATTTACAAAAAAAGTTTCTAAGGCATAAAATCTCTCATCACACCTTCGTTCGGAAAAAGAAGCCGTTGGTCCCCGGTTCATGAGTTGATGGATCGATAGTTAGGGTCCAGGTTATGGGAGCTGCCTTCCTGGCGTCGGGAGCATTGGTACTCAGTACAAAAAACAAGATCAACAAAAAAAAATCAAGGAAAAAACAAAAAAAAACAGTAAAACTGATTATATTTAGCAACTGCAGCATACTTACTTTATTTTTGCATTCATGGCCCGGGGAATGGACACAACAAATAAGTTCTAAATTTAAATTAACTATTGTTGGCTTAATAAAAGAATATTATTATTTTTACAATAGTTGCAGCTGAAAAATGGCTTACTAAAACAAAAATAATCTTATTTTGAATTTATTTGAATAAGTATTATCGGAACAAAAAAACGCAATATAATTTCACCGGAATTGTTTGCTTAAATACAACAAAAAAATTTTTTTTTGGTACAATGCAAACAATTTTCTGTCCGTGCAGAACATTCCGGCGGCGCTGACTGGGATTGAACCCAGGCCTGCTGGGGTGAGAGGTAATCACGTTTACCACTACATATTTGAGATTTGAGGGATTCACAAAAGTTGTATTTGATATCAAAACCTACAAAAGCTTCTTAGGGGAAAAGTTGGCTTCAGTAATACCTTAACCTATTATCGTCAAGGGTTAAACAAAGTCCTAAAGCACTCAAATTTGGCCAATAGTTGCTCTGAAACACAATGTGTCCACATGCCAAAATTGAGCTCTCAAGGACGTTGTTTACCCCCTGACGATAATAGGTTAAGGTATTGCCGAAGCCAACTTTTCCCCTATATCATTTTACGGAATTCTGTTGATGAATAAAGCTAAATTCAAATGAATGTAAATGAATGCATGAAATGAATGTAAGCAGGCATTGCTTATATGATGCCATGCCTGATGATAGGAAATTGCAGCTAACATTCAATGTAATGCATTTTTGGTTTAAGTGTAGTGCTCGTCATAGATAATAAGAAAGTGAATCGCCTCTATCTACGTACTTATCAATTAAACTAGCTACTTAGCATGGATGTCTTTCATATTTGCTGCTATTATGTATTGAACCTAGTATTTAACAACATTTCCACGCCTTTTCCAGAGCGTCTGTAAAGGTTTCGGCGGTGTAGTGCATCAAATTTTATATGGATATAATTCCTTTGCATATGAGCGGTAATATGAACACCAACATATCTGCTGCTCCTTTTTCCACGCACAACTATTTATGCAATTAAAACATGATTTGGCTTATTTTTGTTGCATTTGACATAAAAATGGCAGAGAACCACTCGTTCATTGAATTTTTGTTCTGTCTTTCATAATCTACAAAAAACTGTAAGTTTTTGACAGTTGCTCAGAACATACATAAGGGAACATAATAATATATACGTTAGTTTTCACCATTTGCATGAACAATATCCAATTGATTATCAAGCTTTAGAACGCTAAGTTGAGAGCACGCAACAAGCTAATATGCGCTAAGCAATAAGCTTGAAATGCGAATAAGAAAAAGAAGAAGGAACCATGCAGCTCAGATTAACCAGAAATTGAAAGTAATGAATAATAATACATAATAAGAATCCCTTTAAGGTGATTCCTTGTAGAGTCCATAAATAGCCACTTCAAATCTTCAATTAAACAAATCTCGGAACATTTCATTTGAAATTACTGCTTAGCTCGAACCAGGATCAAAAACAAAATGGCTATAAGCTACAAGCTTCCACTCTGCAAGATGCCTACCCAAGTAACAATTTTAGTTTTATGAGGGTTCTGTAGGCCATGATGTAGCATGCTTTAAAACCATTATAAAACTTACAATGTTACATGGGTAATAACTACATATTATGCTAAGAACCAATTGATTACCATCTCAAGTAACCAACTAGCCCACTATATCGTTAATATAGGGCTTCCGAACTTTATACATACATCGCAAAAGGGTAATTAGCGGGCATTTTTTTGAGTTGGGTATGCTATGAAGATTGAATCTTTTCGGCTGCAAATCCAATAGGAGGAATAAAGCTTATTTTCGGATTATGAGTAGCATTTTCCATTTATGATAACATTTGTCCGGTTACCGGTTTTCTAGTATTAGTTTTCTCATTACCGAAAAACCGTTTTTCAGGAAACATACCCGGTAATGGAAATTTTAGCTACAAAAGTATACTCGGTGTTTATTCAGTGTTCAGCTACAACGATTGCCGAACTAAGCTTATTTGCCCTCTCTAAAATACTGTGAGGACGAACTCCGTTACTGATCCATGAATATATTGAATTCATTGTACTTGTACATTGCATAGTTAAATCCAATTCCATTCCCATCCCATCAAATTTACTAGTTCTTATCAATCACGAGGTAACAACTACGAATTTTAGCTTCTTCAACTTCATATTCCAGAGCCCCCCTGCATAAAACGACAACATAATACAGCTTCCCTAGCCTCATCAATGCCTCAACCAGCACTGTTGCGCCGACAAACCTTTTTGCCGAATGGTCCATACCCTCTATTAATGCCATTGAAATGTCTCAAAAGGAAACAGCGCAGTGAGAAAAATCCCATCCCAAACGAACAGAAAGATGACAAATATTTCGAAAAACGAAAACGTAACAACGAAGCTGCAAAAAAATCACGTGATGCAAGAAAAATGCGGGAAGACAGGGTATGCGGTAGTGATGCGGATATAAACTCTAAATAGAAACTTGAACAATTTTCATATTTCAGATCGCATTGAAAGCAGCCCTACTGGAACGTGAAAATTCCATTCTAAGATCTCAAATATTTGCCCTTCAGGAAGAAGTTTACGCGTTAACTCAAATAGTTTGTTTTAAAAATGTATCTCAAAATCTAAACCCTTCGCCATAATCTAAGGTAAATGGTTGAAGGATTTACCATTCTAGTCATAATGGATTAAAACCAATCTCATGATGCTATTATTAAGATTTTCTATTGTGATTTTTTTTTATTTCAATAAAGTTGATGAAGTTATTTCAGAAGTTGAATAAATAATTAGAGAAAGCATTTCAACCACACAGGTCAAACAATACAACACCCCCTCATCAGCATGACCCGACAAACCCTTTGAGTGAGTCAACAACGATCATAACATTAATTGTGTGATAGTAACAGGTGGTAGAATTTCTAACTAAGAAAATGTGAAATTATTGTCTGATTACACATACATGCCAACCGAAGTAAACAGGTATTTCTTCCACTGCTATAGAATTTGTCTCTCACAAAAAGGTAAGTAAGCAGTCGAACTCTATTCCCATGAAATTACTAGACAACATTAAACGCATTTTATTAATTATCCGAGCTCAGCGCCATGCCATAAGCACTTGGCGAACAAAAATGCTCACTGTTCTACGTATCCTTGCATAATGGTGGGAAATACGGCATCTGACGGATTTCGATCATCGGTTGGTGCCACCTTAGCTATGATTATGTGCACGAAAGGATAAAACATGGGAGCACTAATTTGAATATTTGATATATGGTGTTATTTTTTATTGCCACCAATTGATGCTTTTTGTTTGTAAACGAAAGCACTGTGGTTCAAAGATCAAATACATTTTGACACAGAAAATAGGATAGCGAACTGGGTACCCGATTACGGATTACGGGTTTCTCTTACATACGAATAACATACTCAATGACATATAGTAACCTCTTGAACAATATTCCTATGTTGGCTCATACAGGGACAAAGATAATATTTTTGATGTGCATATATTTTTACTAAACTACACTCTTAGATTATTTTACAGGAGCCAATATGTTTACTGGGTTTGAAAAAGTTGGAAAATTTTATTTTCTATCATTGAATGGGGTTAATAGAACTAACTTGATACATGTTTGTAATGAATTTATTTTTTTTTTATTTTACACAGAATTTCAAACATTTACCAAATAGTTCCGCAGCTTAAAAACCCAGCAAAACCTTACTGGCTGAATTAGTGTGCAGGATTAGAAATGTTTCATTAAGACTACGATTTCAGATGATGAACAACGATAATAAATATAGAAAAAGAAATGCTTTGCTTTATATTAGAAAGAAATGCTTTTTATTATATTACAGAAAGAAATGTGTTGCATTATATTACTTTGAATTACCACTTACATCCTTGATCCTAAAAGACAGCAGTCCTAATTTTTGTGAGCATCATAATTTACTAACTATTTAAATGTGTATCAGAGAACGCTTGCGCATAAAGACTAGGGTGGGGGAACGGATTCGAAACTCAAATGTCATTAGCCAAATACATCCGTAGACCTTAGGTCCACCGTTGTATAATTGGCAATGCACCCGTGTACTGAATGGGAATTGTGGGTTCGAATCCCACCGGTGCCCTTAGATTTTTTCGCAAATTTTCTCACACACACGTCTCTTACCGATGATATGTGCTTACCTCTCAGTATGTTCAAACTTTCCTATAAACAATTAAATTGACTGCAAAGTCGCTAAACCGTAAATAAAAAAAAAATATATTTAAATAAATAAATGTTTGATACAATACAATTTACGATGCACGTGCTGCTACCATCGCTCTGTTTTTGTCCTTGCCTTCTTGCTTTTTGTTCACGTTCGGTTGCATTTGAAGCTGCTATTGCTCTTCCGCTTGAGACAAGAAACCATCCGGTGCCCCATCGCCTTACATAATAAGCATTTGACGAATTTCACGCTAGCTCGACAAATGGTTGGCAGCACCCTTTCAGATGTCAATGAAACTTTGTAGGTGTATAGATTTCGTCTACTTAAGCAACTTTGCATACTTATTTTCTTTAAAAAAAATCTAGGCCAACATTTGGAAAGGGCAGAACTTTATTGTCATCATTTTCTTCAAAAAATTATGACTCAATAATGTCACGTCCTACAAAAATGTTGCCAAAGGATGATTTGTAGAAAAACAAATGAGCTTTTGTATAAAAATATAAAAAAAATAAAGTCTTTTTTGTACACTGAAAAAAATAATTTTTCAAACTTAAAAATGAGATTTCTCAAAAACATCATTTTTTTAATCTGAAACTTTTTCTTAAGCTATGCATACCATTTATCTACAACTCGTTGATACATTCCAAGATGGGTGCTTTTAAAGGAAAAAAAAGTTATTTAACAAAAACTTTTTTGTGTTCGCACTGAATAAAATCTATGATTTTTTTCAGGGTAGGAACGACAAATTAAAAAATTTTGAAAGACGTTTTTCACGTCTACCACTAAATAAGATTGAGTTAAACTCCAAATGAAAAATAGAATGATCTTTTAGAAAGCTTTTGAATATTAAGGAAGGGTCAACTAGTTTCGGAGATATGGACCGAACATGTTATGGAAAATATGAGTGTCGATATATCAAATCACATAAATCGCAAACAAGATATTTTTAACGAGCGAGAAAACCAGTTTCAATGACAATACCTAGAAAATATATATTATTTCCCGTTTAAGATGAAGGTACAAAAAAATACGACGTAGGTACGACCACAAGCCTGTCTGTTGATAAACATTAATTGCTATTTAAGTTAAGATGTAGATACGACCCTATTCAATGTAGTGTGTAACGTTTAATAACAATTATTCTCATGGATGCCTTAAGTTTTTTTTAAATGCAGTGCTGGTATTTCGAATCCTAAGTGCAACCGGAACAAACTACGTTACTTAACACCAGCATTAATTCAAAAAATGCAATCTATATACCAACAAAAAAACAGATGCGCATTTGTGAGTCATGCCGCATTTGTGAGTCTACACTGAAAAAAATAATTTTTAAAACTTACAAATGAGATTTCCCAAAAAACCCATCTTTTTTTAATCTGAAACTTTTTCTAAAGATAGACATACCATTTATCTACAACTCGTTGATACATCCCAAGGTGGGCACTTTTAAAGGAAAACAGGTATTCAACAAAAACTTTTTCGTGTTCGCACTGAATAAAATCTATAATTTTTTTCAGGGTGGGAACGACAAATTTAAAAAATTTGAAAGACGTGTTTCACCTCTACCACTAAATAAGATTGAGTTAAACTCCAAATGCAGTGCTGGTATTTCGAATCCCAAGTGCAACCGAAACAAACTGCGTTACTTAACACCAGCATTAATTCAAAAAATGCAATCTGTGGGATATACTCACTAACTGAATGTACAGATGCGCATTTGTGAGTCATGCCGTGCATTGGTTCAGCACAATAGATATACATCCAAAAAATCGCGCTCGGATCTGTGCAATCCACAATCATCCACAAGTGGGTATGAACCACCAACAAGTGATGAACAACCATCAACAAGTGGCCACCATATCAGGTAAGAATACTCAGATCGATAATTTAAATTTACACCTTTTTTATTTGTAGGCTGAAAAAATACTTGTTTAAACCTTGCACACTTATTAATTCATGTTTTAGCTTTCTTGTCTTGTCTTACAGACGTACCGTCGAATCCATCATTAGAATCAATTTCATCGGCGGATCAGTTACAGGGACCATATAATGTGGAAATATTCAATAGCATCGTTCACATAGTGAATGTTTCACCAATTTCATTAAGGAACATGAGGATCATGGATTACTGTGTAACAAAATCAGCAAACAGCATGGTAAGACAAAAATTAGTGAAAGATCTAGGTATTCTTTGTACCACTAGTGCACGAAGTAGACACGGAATCAGTAAATTAGACAAAAAAGACTGTTATTGATTTTTTTGATAGTATTGATATAAGCAGACCAATGCCTGGAATTAACGATTACGTGTCTGAACTCCGGAACGGGCGAATGAATATGATGTCTCTCAAAGAGACATATACAATATTTGAAGAAACGTATGCGAGTATTAAAATTGGCTTCACCTTATTTACAACGTTGAGACCTAAACATTGTAAGCTACTTGATAGTAAAGGTACTCATAATGTATGTGTGTGCACAATCCACGAAAATGTAAAATTAATGCTAAATAGTTTAGGAATCGTATCCCAGGGAGAAATAATGGATAAACTGCTTTGTAATTTTTCTATTAGGACGACAGAGTGTTATTTTCGAGCTTGGAAAAAATGTGCCACCAATGAAGAAGTTGCGGACGAACTTGCTGCACTATTAGAAGAAAGTGTTAAAGAAGATGTTATTTTTCAATAGTGGCTTACTATGGATCGATGTAACTTGGAGAACATTATGAAACCTGCAGACGAGTTTGCCACGTACTTCGTAGATAAAATTGATAAGTTAATCACTCATGACTTTATTTGTAAAGAACAGTCTTTATTTCTAAGGAACAAAAAAGATTCTGTAAAAGAAGATGAATTAACTGTAATTTGCGATTTCTCTGAGAACTATTCATTTATTCTTCAGAACGCTGCCCAGGGTTACCATTGGAATAACGCTCAGGTAAATATTCACCCTTTTGTGGTTTATTATATGAAGGACAGTAAAATAGAAAATGTTAGTTTTATAATAATATCAGAGGTATTGGCTCATGATACAATAGCAGTTATATATATTTTGATAAGTTCTTTAGTGGGAATGACACTGATGAAGACTGCACATTGTAGTCGAAATACGTATCTGTCATGGATACCAAAATGTATTAAGTGGAATTAAAGGAAGATGCTGTTTTTGTTCATCGCAACCGACTCGTTCCTGAGATTGAAAGTGGTAGTCCTGCGATCCACCCAGTCTGCGCTCAGACTCAACAGATTACTGGCATGCCTCCCTCAAATTCTTCTTCTCAACTTCGTATCTTCTATCAAAATGTCCGTGGACTCCGAACGAAGATCGATGCCTTCTATCTCGCTGCGGCAGATTCGGAGTATGATGTGATAGTTCTAACCGAGACGTGGCTCGACACTTGCATTCTATCAACTCAGCTATTTGGTGGATCATT